CGCCGCCGCGCTTCCCAAGCGGCGCACTTATCCAGTGCGCCACCGGGCCGGCCCCAAGTTATTCTTTTAAAATATAAATAAATATTGTAAAGAGTAAAGGTATATAATACAAAGTTTTAAAGTAAAATGAAGACTTTTTAGGTAATTTAGGTACCACAGTTTTCAAAAGAAATTTATATTGTACAGATAGGAAGTTAGTCAAGTAGATGGAAACTGTTACTGATCCAGGAGCAGATGAGTAGTAGTAATTGGTAATTTCTTCTGGTTGGAGACTTTTGGAGATGACCCTATGTTTAGATCTGATATGACTCATCTGTGAACAAACTTTTCTTTGGTAAGCTGCCAAAATTCATCAAACCCACTGACCACAAATACTTATGTTGATTCCTGTGACAATACAGTCAGAGGACAACTTTTCTATTTATAATCTAATTCAGCATACATTTACTGAGGGTTTCATAATTTCATAGGTTCAGATAGATGTGTTTAATATTAGAGTTGTTTCTTATCATTAATATTTAAAACCTAATTTCAAATAAGTATAAATTTGTACTTGAGTTAGATCATTCTTTGGAACCGATGGGTTTGATAATTATGACTTTATTAATGTTTTGTAACTCTCAATCACAACTAACTTAAACATGGATTCTGTGTTGTAGATTGTGAAGAGNTTTCTTCTGGTTGGAGACTTTTGGAGATGACCCTATGTTTAGATCTGATATGACTCATCTGGGAACAAACTTTTCTTTGGTAAGCTGCCAAAATTCATCAAACCCACTGACCACAAATACTTATTATGTTGATTCCTGTGACAATACAGTCAGAGGACAACTTTTCTATTTATAATCTAATTCAGCATACATTTACTGAGGGTTTCATAATTTCATAGGTTCAGATAGATGTGTTTAATATTAGAGTTGTTTCTTATCATTAATATTTAAAACCTAATTTCAAATAAGTATTTATAAATTTGTACTTGAGTTAGATCATTCTTTGGAACCGATGGGTTTGATAATTATGACTTTATTAATATTTTGTAACTCTCAATCACAACTAACTTAAACATGGATTCTGTGTTGTAGATTGTGAAGAGGTCCCTTGAAGTTTGGGGTAGTCAGGAAGCATTAGAAGAAGCAAAGGAAGTTCGACAGGAAAACCGAGAAAAAATGAAACAGAAGAAGTTTAATAAAAAAGTAAAAGGTAAGTGGCTACATTTTATATCATGAAGGATTGTGTTTTGTCACTTTGCAAAAGGCCTTTTGCTAGATTCTTCCTGTTTAAAGATGTAATGTCACCAGTAGATTGGAATGTGTTTTTTAATAGGTTGGAAAAAAAAAATGACTTAAAGTTTGCCCTCAATAGGTTGGTGTTTGATACTCTCAGTCCAAACCTCACAGTGCTGCATTTCTAAAAAGCATGTAAATCATCATCTCAAAGTGAATCATGTTTTTATATAGGAACAAAGTTAGGATTGGAGATGGTATCCTGGTCAAGTATTTGGCGTCATGTAAATCTTAAATGTGATCAACAGTGTTACAAAAAATAGATGCCCACCAACAAAACTCTCTCTAATTGCTTAAAATGAAAAAAATCATGCCCTAAGTTTCAGTTATCTTATTTAGCAGCTAGAAGGAACTTTCTGATATCAGTTAATCTAATCACTTTTATTTTATATATGACTAGAAGACCCAGAAAGATAGAGTAACTTATTACACAGATAGTTATTGACAGAGTTGGAATTGGAACCAGGCTTTCTCATTTGTACAGTCATTCCTCCATCCATGCATCTTATCTCTGCACACAACTATCCATTCTTTTTTTTTTCCTTTTTGTCTTTTTTTTTTTTTTTTTACTGACCGGTAACGGGATTGCAACCCTCAGTGTCGCGCCCGTACCGGGGACTAGCAATGGGATCGCAACCCTCGGTGTTGCGCCCGCACCACGCTCAGCCAGTGAGTGGGAAC